ATAATTATATATATACATAATTACATATATATAATATACATATATTATATATATTATTGGCTGAAATTTATTGGATGTACTCCAGACAGAAATCAAGATACAAATAAGGGTCACTTTTGTTATCTAGATTTCAGAAACTATCCAACTTCTGTCCCAGACACCAAACTGAAATGAATATGACTCAACTCATTTTTTAAAATTTCTTATCATTCTGCTGAAGATTCATATTTCTGGGAAAGGAGTCTAGCGTGGGTCTTGTACCTGCTGCTTGGCCAGGGGAGGATAGAACACCTGAATGTCCACCAATATCACCCACAATGGGGGAGAGGTAACTTCTCTCCAAAAGGTCCGAGTGTTCATGGAAAGTGGGGGAAGAGGGTAATGGAGAAGAGCATTTATCTTTGTTCTTATCATGATTGCCCAGTTAGCATGGACTCTACATTAATTTTACTAAAAATGAAATCACATAAATACAAATTACAAAAACATATCTGAATTCAGTTGAACAAATGCTCACTCACTGAAAGCTTTAAGGAAAAATAGTTCAAAATTGTATGCGTTAGTCGAGTTTGAGAGTATGCTTATAAAGGTTAAGTTTCTTAGACATAATGAGGCAGACTTCTCTGTGGCCCAAAACTGCATCAGAGACAAAATAGCAGGTGTTTCACCCTGAGGCTAAGGCTTTCAGTGGTGAGAGAGGCAAGAATGAGGCCTCAGCTTGTACTCTTAGGATTGGATCAAAGATGTCTGTCTCGAGTATGTCTCATACTTGGAAGGGAAAAAACCACACTAACCCCAGTCTGCCAAGACCAAACTCCAGCTGTACCTCGGGCATATGCAACCTCTCAGCAGATGACAGGCTTTCTTCTCATCATAATTAAGGCTGAAAAGTCAATGAGCATTATGCGAATCAGCTCATCGCAAACTCTGTACTTCTGTTCATTTCTGAGAAGTCAAATCAGGCCTCTTGAGAAAATACTCAAGAATATCTCTCCCTTCACTTCTTAAATGATGGGAGATGCCCTGTAGTCTCTCTTCTTCCGTCACTGGTAGTTTCGAGCTTAAAACAGGGGTGGGGAATATCTGGCTTGAGGGCTATATAAGGCCTGAGAAATCATTTGGTTCAGCCCTGCCAAGGCATTAGGGGTGAGTTAACTAAATGTTTGACCAAATATAGCAGGCTAATTTTTAAGTTGATAATTTTGTATGGCCCACCAATGATGTTATAAATATCCAAATAGCCCTTGGCAGAAAAAAAAGGTTCCCACCCCTGGCTTAAAAGAAAGATTGAGTCTTCAGAAAGTTGCCTCTGAATTGGATATCAAGTGTCAAGTTGGATGTTAAGTTGGGGGTGAAAGGGTGATAGAGAGGGAAGGAAAAAGGGAGGTTTACATATTTTATTCATCAGACTTTCTTCAAAGGAGACACACATTCAGTTAACCTAAAGCTCTTGTATTTTCCAGCCAGAGTATAAAATGGCCGACTCAATCTGCACATTTGTGTTTTCTGTCCTGGTGTTGGCCAGTACCGTCACAGTCTTAAAGGACTTCTCCATCTTACTCATGGAAGGTAGGAGTGATTTTATTTTATTCCCAAGATCCATGTTTTCTCTTCCCTATAACCACAAGAGGTGGTAGCCTCAAGGCATGCTCACTATTAATATACATCACAGAGAACATTTAAACTGATAAAGAATTGGGGGAAAACAAATATTATGATTTTCTTTCATATGGAACAACTAAAAAGTATTGGCTTCTGTTTTTCCTCCAGTAACTGTTACATGTTATGGTTCAGTGTAAAAACAATATGCACACACACTAAAGATAGACATGGAGGAAGTTATTGTAAAGATATTAGTTTATCCCTAAATGTATGGACAAGACCAAGAAAGTCAGTATAAAACTATCCTTAGCAGCATTGTAGCTATTCAGAAGAGCTTGCCTAACGCCCTAGTTAGACTAGGCCAGCAGTTCTCCAACATTGGTGGCATTGGAATTGCTTGGAGGGTTTGTTAAAACACAGATTGCTGGGCCCACCCACACCCTTCCTGAGACATAGGTCTGGGGTGGGGCCCAAGAATCTGAAGTTCTAACAACAAGCTGCTGCTGCTGGTATGGGGACCACACTTTGAGAACCACTGAATCAGTCTTTTTGTAGCACTTAGAGATTCCTACAGGAGGGTGCTGGGAATGGCTCCCAGAAAATTCTATCAGAACCAGAGGTTTGCATCGTATCAAATATTTGGATAATCATAAATATCCGGATATTGGATGAACTTTTCTTTTTTTGTCTAGCACATTTTGAAATAAGGGAGACACAGTCTCAGAGAACAGTTGCCATCAAAGCAGTTCGCATTTAAGGTTTCTGTTCTCAGTGGGCAGTATCATTGTTGGCAGATGATACTGTTGACAAGAGTGAAACCAAATGGAGTCAAATGTCACTGAGTAACAAGCGAACTTCCTCGCTCTGGAGGTGACAATATTTGATTTGTCAAGTCACAAATACACCCATTTCCTTTCCTGAGGGCCAAGTGCTGAGCTGCAGCTGTTGTCGCTAGGATGGCACTTACTGACTACCGGGGGGATAACAGGCAGATTGGCGCACTATTGGTGGAGATGACTATAGTCCACTTTCCCCGTCTCTCACTGTAGATCTGCTCTGGTGATTATCTCCCTTATTTATTTATTTAAAGAAAGGACAGTTAATTATGGAAACTGCCAGATAACTCCTATCTGGTAGATGCTTAATTTCTAAACTAGGTTTTCAAATTGGAATAGCATAAAAGAATACTTATCTTTGGTAACATTTTAAAAAAATATGCAAAAGTAGAAAATGAATTTTAAAGGTCTCCCCTTTTTTTCTACTTTGAATTCTCAGTCCCATTCTTCAGGGGTAACATCTACTTATAAGTTGACATACATAT